CGCAGCTCCGCCCGGCCGAGCTCCCCGCACCCCAGCCCACCTGGTGGTCCCCCAGGCACATGTCCTCCGTGGGCTTCTTCATCTCCTCCAGGATGAGCTGCTGCCGCCGCCGCTCCTCCAGGCGCCGCTGGGCCAGCAAGCCCTTGTCCGCCTTGCGAGCCCCTTTGCCCTTCTTCTCTTTGGGCCGCGCTTTCTCCTTGCCCTTCTCCGGTTTGCTCTTCTTCTCCTTGGCCTGAGGACAGACCCCGGGACGTGAGGGGAGAGCGGCTCCACTTCTTTCCCCCACTTCCCGGCCCCCTCGTACCCCACAGACTCACCTTGGACTTCTTCTTGGTCTCCTTCACTCTGGGGGCTTTGGCTTCCTGCTTCTGCTTGTTCTTGGCCTGGAAGGGACAAGATCAGCTCAGGGACCTGCTGGCCTTCCCACACCAGGGAAGCCCCTACCCCAGCCCCAGAGGAGCCCCAGAGGAGCCCCAGAGCCACCCTGAGCCCCGCGCAGCCGCTCATACCTTCCGCCTCATTTTCTTCTTGATTTTGCTCATTTTCAGCTTGTCCTCGTCACTGAGCACCTCTGTGAGAGCAGAGAGGGAGGGCAGCGATGGACCGGCTGCTGGAGTCCCACCGGAGCCAGGCTGCAAGGGGCTGCACCGGCCACCCCGAGCCGGCGGGGACGGGGCCAGGGAGGGGGTACCTTGGGCTTCCAGCCTCTTCAGCAGCCGCGCGTCCGTCTTGCTCAGCAAGTCGACCATCTTGACCTTGGGAGGGCGGCCCCGGCCGCGTTTCGCAGCCGGCGGCTCCTTGGGCTTGGCCTTCTCGGCATTGCGGGGTCGCCCGCGCTTGCCCGTGATGGCCTGGATGCGCGAGGGGATCTCCTCGGGGCTCAGCTTCACCCACTGCAGACCCTCCTCTTCAGCAGCCGCGCGTCCGTCTTGCTCAGCAAGTCGACCATCTTGACCTTGGGAGGGCGGCCCCGGCCGCGTTTCGCAGCCGGCGGCTCCTTGGGCTTGGCCTTCTCGGCATTGCGGGGTCGCCCGCGCTTGCCCGTGATGGCCTGGATGCGCGAGGGGATCTCCTCGGGGCTCAGCTTCACCCACTGCAGACCCTGCGGCACAATTCGGGTCACCTCCCGCAGCACAGCGTGTGCGTGGGGGGACAGGGCGGCTCAGCTGCCCCCAGACCCACCTCCGGCGTGTCCCGCTCCTCATAGAAGTCTCCCACCGGCATGCGGGGGCTGAAGCTGAAGTGCTCGCGCCGGACGTCCTGCACCACGTTCCTGCTCAGGTACTGGTAGGAGGAGGAGAAGGAGGAAGGCCATGAGAGGGGATCAGCGCTCTGGGCCCCACAGCTCCTGGCTCGCAGCAATGTCCGTCTGCTGCAGTCCGGCAGAGCTGGGGGCCTGCAGCGGACCAGGACCCCGGTCACCCCCCAGCCCGCTCTGCCCGGGGCCCGTACCTTGATCACCTCCGGGAACTGCTTCATCCTCTTCCCGCAGGGCCCGTAGTACCAGGTCTCACCCTGCCACCGGTGGTTCCCCTTCCTGATCCGCACCTCCCGCCTCCACCTGGGCACAAGGAGCTTCAGCCCGGGGCGGCGGGGCGGCCGCGGGGCAGGACGGAGGG